AAGGAGATAATAAATTCACAATACAAATGTATGAACAACTTGAGTATATATTGCCAGAATCAAAGACGATGAACTCACAGAGAACCAAGGTGGAAGACGAGGTTTTGCCTGCGCAACTTGCCGTAGTTTTCTGCTTTCTTTCTCATTGTATTTATTGGCTTACAATGAAGGAAACAGGGCTCGTGGCCTCCTGACTATGCGCCACTACGATCCACAATGCTCGTGCCATCCCACGAACGATCAGTAGGGCGCAGGACTCAGCCAAAGTAGTTTAAACCTCGAGCTAATGTCGCTATCTAAAGATTGACGAAACTGAAGAAAAGTGCAGCTATCGCTAACTGAACTAACTGAACTTGCAAGGTTTATTCTAACATATATACCAACTTGTACCAAATCTTGGGAATGTTGAAGGAGATAAATCATTTAATTCACATTACAAGTATCTTAATCCGAAGAAGATAATGGTCAAAGTTAAACAAAGCCGATTGATTACAACCATGACATAACCACAGTGTCACAGATTCTTGGTACAACTGTAAGTATACATGAATAATTGCTCTCCCTCCGTTGAACTAAAACCACGATAATATTATTATGGAACGGAGGGAGTACATTGCTTACTCAGGCGATGACTTCTTTTCGGGAACACTTCTCAACACTATAACCTTCACCGAATTTGCATCTTGGAACACATCGAAGAAATTGTTTCCTACCGTTTTTTTTTTTTGAGGAAGCAGCAGTTGTACTGCCTTCGCATTTCAGAGAAGAGTTAACAAGTTGTTTACATAAAGCAGGCTTCGGGTGCCTGAGAAACCAAAGGAAATAAAGTAAAAAAAACAAATCAGGCTGTGGCGGGGGTTCATTATCGCCGTTGTTCAACCAGGAGGCACAATAAGTGGCGAAGATGCTATCCTGCTTGATGAGAGAAAATAACTCAGCCTCCGGCAAAGATTTTTGTTTCAAAACTAGCTTATTTCCTTCTTTCCAGATATTCCAGCAGCGGTAGATTGCGGTGGGATGGCTACGGGCGCTGATGTTGCATGCCGTGTCGCGCCACCAGCTCGCAGGTGATGCGCAGTATTTGCTGGAAGGTCAAAAAGCAGTCTCGTTAATCGACTCGGCAAGCAGCGGCCAAACCGAGCATGAGTTTGTTCTGACCAATCGCTGCTGCTGTCACTGTCACTGTCGACCAGCCATTGCTTACAGACTGATCTTGATATTTCCTTCCATGTCTTCAGTTTAAATGGTTTAAATTCTGTACATAACACAAATGTTGTCAGAACAAACTCATACAAACTAATGTAACATGGAAATTTATACCATATGACATCAAAACAATGGATAACAAACGTGTTGACGTGGTACATGTGATGGGACGGATGCCTGCATCTGTTGATTAAACGTGTGAAAGGTGAAAAGTCGTGCATACCTTCATAATGGGCATCTAAATCTTTGCAGTCGATGCTGCCCAGTTGCTGCTGCAAGCATCTAGGTAGCTTCATTATAGCTGAACATCCATTAATTTGAAGCCGTCTGAGAGATTCATATGCTTGCGGATGATTTGGCAGGGATGCTAGGGCACTGCAATCATCAAGCACAAGGCTTTCCAGCGATGGGGGGTGCTCTCTCAACAGAGACTCCAGTGATGTCAACCTACTGTTGCGTCGTAGGGCCAGTGTCTTGAGGGACGTGGGCAGATGGAGAACCCCTCCGATGTCAGCACATTCAGTAATTAGTAGACTTTCTAGACAACGAGGAAGTGAATGCTCTCTTGCTGCTGCTCTTAATGCCTCTGGTACATTTATGGAAATAGTGGCCTCTGGTTTCTGGAGCTCATCCAGCTGACATGATAGGACTTGAATACTATTGCAAGAACCAATAGATATGGTCTGTAAGGACGGTGGAAGATTTAGAACAGCTGCTAACCTATTACATCCAACTAACCGTAGATATTCTAGGCATGAATAAAAGTGATGCATGGGTGAGGATGACAACTCCGACATGTCATGCTGCTTGCCGAATATGGAGTCAATCCAATAGCAGCGTTCAATAGTCATGTACTTGAGAGATGTCGGGACGTTGAACATCTCTACCAAACGTTCACAATCTTTTAACTCAAGGGACTCCAGACCTGGAAGGTGTTGACTCCTAGAAGGAGCTCCTGCATATCCAGTCAAACGTGAACAGCGTGTAATCACTAATCTCCTCAAGGATGCCAAGCTTTGGAACACTTCCTCCGGCCAGTGGACGAACATAGCGCATCTATCAATTTCCAAATCTTGAAGGTGTACAAAATAGTCCCACGGCTCTAGTGCACCTGACCCAAAGAATAAGTTGCAGCATCTTAGCTTCATGACTCTAAGAGGGGACTTTTGGTTCCTTTTCTCCTTGATGTTCACCGGTACAATGGGAATGCGCCTAGCATATGATGTCTCTGGGTACTCTAGGTTCAGTATTAGATTGGTCAATGAAGACATACATCGGTCAACCGAATGCAATATCTCTTTCTTGCCATTTGCAACTTCTAACATACTGAGTTTTGGTGCTTCAGGTAGATCTATCACCTTTGGGCATACATAAACTGATAATTCTTCAAGTTGAGGAAACAATATCCGTTCTCCTTCGGTAGCTGCATTCCATCTCTGAAAATTCTCCAAGTCTTTGATTTCGAGTACCGTTAGGGTAGGAAATGCTGAGTGTACCGATCTATAACCTCCACTACATGCTTCTTGAAGCAATGGTGCTTCAGGCAATGCTACCAGTTTGGGGCATTTCTGAACTGATAGTCTCTGAAGCCGAGGGAACAATATGTGTTCTCCATGAGTCTCTTCGGCTTCTTCCCATCTCTGGAAGCTCTCCAAGTTATTCAATAGGAGTACCTCTAGGGCAGGAAAGGATGAGCGCACCAATCTATAGTCTCCACTACATGGTTCTTGAAGCAATGGTGCTTCAGGTAATGCTATCAGCTTTCCACCTTTCCAAATAAACAATTGTTGTGCTTTAGGCATTGCTACCAACTTTCCACAATTCATAATGAATAACTTCTCAAGCACAGGAAATATTATCTGTTCTTCTTGCATTTCATTTATTTCCCACCATCTGTCAAAATCCAAAAGATTTTCTAGCGTAAGCTCCTTCAGTTTTGGAAAAGTGAAGGATGTACCGCATCTGAACAAAAACTGCAATCTTTCGCAATGAAAAAGATGGATCCCAACCATGTTTTGTAACATACCAATGCACTTCCCTCCATACGAATATATCTTTAGAACCTGCAGTGCATCATGAGGTTCAAAATTTTCGAGCACCTTGTTGTCACCAACACAAGTCCATCTTAACGTCAGTTCTCTGAGATCCTTCTTGTTTCCGAGGTTTGCCACTTCTGCTTCTGCCTTTTCAACATTCTCTACCCAACATAGCTCTAGCTGACCACCGAGGTTTAAATGCTGCAGCTCTGCAACATCACTACAATCAGGGCCAGTAACTGCTGCCACAAAACTTGTGAGTGTTTGCAGCTTAGTGAGTTTTCCTAGTTCTGGAGGCATGCTCTTCAACTCTCGACATCGATGAGTGTAGAGGTGACGGAGGGAAGTCATATACTTCATTTTCCTTGGAAGTCGATCAAGATATTTACAGTTGGAAAGGTCCAAAACTTGCAGGTTATATAGAATAGTTATATCTTCAGGAAGTGCTTCGATAGAACTTCCTGAGAGATCAAGGTACCTCAGGTGATGTAGATACTTTGGTTTCAGTATATATGTTTCTGTATATATACAGAGTTTCAAGGCATGCAAAGAGTTGTATTTCGAAACATGTTGCATTGAGATTTGCACCAAATAATCGCATACAATAGTTTGGATAGCACGGGACCTTTTGTCCATAGAATCATTTAAAATACCTTCTGCTTCTCCACATGACAAAAATAAATGCCGAGCAGTATCTGGAAGCCACACAGTTCGACTTTTTTCCATAGTTGCAATAACGCATTCCGTTTCCATAACAGACATTGCAATGTCATGCATAAGATCATGGATTTTACATGTAGTTATGGAATAACAGTATGTTTTACCTTCCTCTATGTCCAGAAAGAATGACCTTGAGGCAAGCTCATTGAAAATATGTTTTCCAATGGTTTCAAGACTATCTTGCTTGTGTTCTGGGATAAAGCCATTTGCAATCCATAGTTGGATCAGCTTGTCCACATCAATTTTGTAATCCTTGGGGAATATTGCACAAAAGGCAAAACATTGCTTCATGTGTGATGGCAAGTCGTTGTAGCTAAGCTTTAATATTGGCAAAATTCCAGTTTCTTCTGTGCAAATGGAGCTTCGAGATGATATAGACTTCCATTCTTCCACGCTGGTCTTAGTACGAAGTACAGAGCCTAGTGCAGTTGCAGCTAAAGGAGAGCCAGAACATCTGCTTACAGTCTCATCAACCATCTTGCTTAGCTCGACAGGCTTTTCTTTCTCTGAACTGAATGCTCTAGCCTCAATAATTTCCTTTACGAAGCAATCCTCCAACACATTGAGATTGTAGGCTCTACCTGCACCCATAATTTCAGCGACTTGTTTATCACGAGTTGTTGTTAGCACTACACTACCCATGCCACCATGTTGAAGACAGACCTTCAGTCTTTCCCACTTATAGACCTCTTTGTTCCAGACATCATCCAGTACAAGGAGAAACCTCTGCCCACTAACCAATTTTTTAAGTCTATCCAGTGGTGGTTTATCTGTATCATCATTTTTCTTGGGAGATGCTTCAACTATATTCTTAGCCAGGGAGTTCGCGTCAAATGTATCAGAGACACAGACCCAAAGTTGCAACTGGAAATGCTTCTGAATTTCAGGTTCATTGTATATGAGTTGTGCTAATGTCGTTTTGCCAAGGCCACCCATTCCAACAATGGGAACAATGGTGAGATCCGCATTGGTAGATTGACCAAGTAGTGTATCGACAATATTCTTCATATCTTTGCTTCTAGATCTGCTAGCAATTTCTTATGGGTCGATGATAACATAATCCGTTTGCCTCCACTGCTTGGAGACCGGTGGCTGTTGTTGGTACTTGAACCCAAAGACTTGCATCTCTACTATGAGTACCTCAATGGCCTGCAGAATCCTACAAAGTTTGCGACCCATTTTGTAACGGAACACAATATGATTGTTAGTAGGGAAGATTTGTAGAACATCAAATCCAAGCTTGGTGTAGTGACCATTCTTCTTGGCTTCACGGCGGAGTGCTTCATACTTGAATTCGTCGAAGACTTCATTTGCCTTATAAGCCACTGTCTTGAGCTCCTGGAGCCAGGCTTTCGCACCTTCTCTGTGTGCCGTTGCCTGCTCCTCGGCATTAGTGATGACGTCAAGGATGGCCGGAAGTTTGCATTTGAGAATCCTATGCTGCTCCTCCATTCCCTCCATCACCTTGTACTGGTCCAGTAGGGAGCTGGACGCTTTGTTCATCAGCAAGGACACCAGTGGACGGATCGCCATGGTGGCTACCAACTCCACCATTGGAATGCTCACAGCCCCCGCAACACACGCAGAACACAGGGAAACACAAACTAGTGTTGTGCAGGACGGAGAAGAGAATGGTATGAGCAAGACGTGTATAGTGCACAGATAAACGAAGTGGTGTTATTAAGGATGCAAGATTTAAATGAATCTGATGGGTAAACCGAGGCACTGGCATCCCAGTGAGACAATGTGCACTTCAATTACAAAGCACCAGCTTGCAGGCAGGAGAATATATAATTAGTTTAATAAGCTACAAGCGCCTAAGTTTATTTTTAGTTCGCACTCCTAAGCTGTAAGGTTTATGCGTCGAATTTTAATCTGTTGACACATCAAACAAACGTAGAAACAAACCGAGATCATCCAGCCATACACGGTGCGAAAACAAACCAACTGGGTGTTATTAATGAGGCATGTTTCAGATTAATCAAATGGCTACACCGCGGCAATGACAGCCATGTGAGACAAGAGCACTACCATCACAGCAAGAAGGTCATAGATGTCGAATCATACATACTATTACTAGGACAAAAGCTAACATAAATTTTAAGGATGCAGGTTATAGATTAATCAGAAGGCTAAACCGAGGCACTGACAGCCATATGAGACATAGTGCACCTCAATCACAAAGCGACCACTTGTAGGCAGGAAAACAGATATATAATCATTTTTAGCCAGTTACAGACTCGTCTTTTCTTGTTAGGATTCCACGTAGAACTTTAGGCTGTTGACGAATCAAACAAATGTCGAAACAGTTAACAAATGCCATGATGATCGAGATCAGCAAGCCATACACGGTGCGCAAACAAACCAAATGGTCGTTATTAACGATGCATGTTTTATATTAATCAAACTGCTACACCGAGGCACCAACAGCCATATGAGACAATCTGCAACTTCAATTACAAAGCGTCCACTTGGTTTATATTATTTTCTTTCAAACATGGTACTAAATGCTTGTCGTCGAAGGAAGGCGGGGAAGGAAGTGATTCAATTTACACAGGTGACACAGTTTATTTGCGATGAATGGCTAACTGTGCTCGTGAGAATGCCAAGACGCACTACCATTACAGCAAAGAGGGTCATAGATATCAGTATACAGACTAGAACAAAAGCTGAAAGAAATTCTAACAAATGCAAAAACAGGTCCTGCTGACACCATAGACGGACGGCTAGAGCGAGAGCACGGGTGGTGGGATTAGTGAGACTCGCTGAGCGGCCGCCACTAACCTTATATTAAATCTAGGAAAACTTCAAGCAGTTTTGCCAACCAATAAATAGACCCCAAAAAAATCAAATTCAGAGCTATTTTGGGTCAAATTTTGCCAAAAACAAAAGTTTTTTTAGAAAGAAAATTCTCAAACATCTACACTACCCTTGTATTCAACGTGGGAAAGTTTGAGCTAGTTTTTCCCAGTGGATAAATATGAAAATGATAGATCATGAAAGTTCGGGATTTGCCCATGGCAAATCAAACATTCCAACTTTAGTTGACGCGGGATGTCAAGTTTAGTTGAACAAGCACGGCATTTTTTGGTAACAAATAAGCTGAGGGTGAAACTATCAAGCTTACCAACTAAACTTTCCATCCTTGCGTATATAAATTGCCACAAAAAAGTTTGATTTGCCATGGGCAAACCCCGAACGTTAGAGACATAGTAGGCGTCTTAAAAATATACAAGCATAATTCAAATTCAGGAGTGTGGTGGAGTGGCTACTGACTTTCATATTGACTGGTTAAAACCGGTCAAAAACCACCCCATGGTTGTTTCTTGTCCAGTTTTGAAAGTTCAAGGTTATAAAATAGACGGTTTCGTAGTTCAGGGTCGTCTTTTAGACTTTCGTGGTAGTTTGAGGAATTGTTTAAAAATTGGATTCGACTGAAGGACTGATCAGAAAAATTGGACCAGTTGTAACTTCTTTTTGAATTTTGAACATTTTTGAGGCACGGACGTTTTTTGAAAGATTAATTTTTTTAAAGAATAGGTGGTATTGTAGCGGACATTTATACAAAACACGAATAATTTTTTAACTTTGAACTTTTTTGAAAAACGCAAAAACATGAAAAAAAAATTGTCAGGTACTGTAGCAAGATTTTAAAGATTTTTTATCATTGTTTGAAAAACTGAACAATTTTGAAATTCACAAACAATTTTCAAAACATGAACATAAATTTTGGAACAAGAACATAAATTTAGAGTTCCAAGCATTTTTTCAACAACAACAACAACAAAGTCTTTAGTCCCAAACAAGTTGGGGTAGGCTAGAGGTGAAACCCACAAGATCTCGCACATTGATAGCAAGCTTTCACGCACCCCTATCCCGTAGCTAGTTCTTTGGTCATACTCCAATCCTTCGGGTCTCTGTTAACATACTCCTCCCATGTCAAATTCGGTCTACCCCGACCTCTTTTGGCATTCTCTGCACGCTTTAGCCGACCCCTATTCAATGGAGTTTCTAGAGGCCTGCGCTAAATATGCCCAAACCATCTCATACGATGTTGGACAAGCTTCTCTTCAATAGGTGCTACGCCAACTCTATCTCGTATATCATCATTCCGGACTCGATCCTTTCTCGTGTGGACACACATCCATCTCAACATACGCATCTCCGCCACACCTAACTGTTGAACAGGTCGCTTTTTAGTCGGCTAACAGTCAGTGCCTTACAATATTGCAGGTCGAACCGCCATTCTGTAGAACTTGCCTTTTAGCTTTTGTGGCACTCTCTTGTCACAGAGAATGCCAGAAGCTTGACGCCACTTCATCCATCCGACTTTGATTCGATGGTTCACATCTTCATCAATACCCCCATCCTCCTGCAACATTGACCCCAAATATCAAAAGGTTTCCTTCTGAGGCACCACCTTCCCATCAAGGCTAACCTCCTCCTCCTCACACCTAGTAGTACTGAAATTGCACATCATGTACTCGGTTTTAGTTCTACTAAGCTTAAACCCTCTCGATTCCAAGGTTTGTCTCCATAACTCTAACTTCCTATTTACCCCCGTCCGACTATCGTCAACTAGCAGCAGATCATCTGCAAAGAGCATACATCATGGGATATCTCCTTGTATATCCCTTGTGACCTCATCCATCATCAAGGCAAAAAGATAAGGGCTCAGAGATGACTCCTGATGCAGTCCTATCTTAATCGAGAAGTCATCAGTGTCGACATCACTTGTTCGAACACTTGTCACAACAGTATCGTACATGTCCTTGATGAGGGTAATGTACTTTGCTGGGACTTTCTGTTTCTCCAAGGCCCACCACATGACACTCTGCGGTATCTTATCATAGGCCTTCTCCGAGTCAATGAACACCACATGCAAGTCCATCTTTTGCTCCATGTATCTCTCCTTAAGTTGTCGTACAAAGAAAATGGCTTCCATGGTCGACCTGCCAGGCATGAAACCAAACTGATTTTTGGTCACGCTTGTCGTTCTTTTTAAGCGGTGCTCAGTGACTCTCTCTCATGGCCTCATTGTATGGCTCATCAGCATAATTCCATGGTAATTAGTACAACTATGAATATCCTCCTTGTTCTTGAAGATTGGTACTAATACACTTCGTCTCCATTCTTCTGCCATCTTGTTTGCCCAAAAAATTAGGTTATAAAGCTTGGTTAGCCATACTATCGCTATGTCCCCGAGGCCTTTCCACACCTCAATGGGGATACAATCAGGGCCCATTGCCTTGCCTCCTTTCATCCTCTTTAAAGCCTCCTTGACCCCAGACTCCTGGATTCGCCGCACAAAATGCATGATGGTCTCATCAAAGGAGTCGTCCAATTCAATGGTAGAACTCTCATCCTTCCCATTGAATAGCTTGCCGAAGTACTCCCGCCATCTATGTTTAATCTCCTCGTCCTTCACCAGGAGTTGGTCTGCTCCGCCCTTCATGCATTTGACTTGGCCAATATCTCTCTCTTTCTCTCTCAGATCTTGGTCATCTTATAGATGTCCCTTTCGCCTTCCTTCGTGCCAAGCTTTCAAAATATGGAATCCTGAATATTTTATAAAAAAATAGATATATGAAAAATAAAAAGGATAAAATCATATTGAAAATGAAATTAATGAAACATACAAAAGGAAATAGTAAGAAAAGGAAAAGAGAAAAATAAACAAAAAATTAAAATACAGAGAATAAAAACTGAAAGGATATGAAAACCTGTTCAAGAAAAACATGATACTGTAGCACATGTGTTATCTCATAATTTGGCTGTCCCATCTTGTTCGCTAGGTCACTCGCCTCTTGAGGAATGAACGACAATTTGTTGCAGGGAGCAGCATATAGGGATTTCCACCATATTTGGTGTCGTTTGCTCTTTGTCAAATTTAGGAAAAAGTTAACTTTTTAGTGAAATTTTTCTGAAAATCTGTGAAATTTTTGTAGGTAGAAATTTGGTTACAGAAAGATTCACAAATTCTATGAAAATGCCACTATTTTTTTTTACAAAATCTGCAAAAAAGTAAAATTTTCTACGATAAAAGAGATGAACTTTTTCCAAATCCACCAATGCTTAGGTCGGCTCAACAGGCGCCCGCTGGGATCGATGTTGTTGCCTAGTTGGCCAAGACCTAAACAATTTTTTCTATTCTATTTTCAATTTTTCCTTTTTCTGTTAATTCATTTGTCTCCTTTATGATCTTTATTATTCTTTTTGAAATCTGTTCAAATTTTGAAATATTCTTTGGAATACCAAAACATGTTCTTGTCTACTAATATTGTTTATAATATTTAAAGTAAAATTCTGTTTTTGATCTTTTTGTTCACGAATTTAAGAAATGTTTGCGTTTCAAAAAGTATATGTTTCAATAAAAAGTACGTGATTTGAAATTTGTGTTCAACATCAATTTTTTGGAATTTGATAACAATTTGAGAAAATGTTTTCCAAGTTTCTAAAGTTTTCATACACAAATTGAAAAAATTAAAACTACTGACAAATTTAAAGAAATGGTTAGGACAACAGAAAGTATTCATGTTGATTAATAATGGGAG